AGTCTCAGAGAGCCTCATCAAAATAAATTTCGCCAAGTCTTTTTATTCATTCATTCACAAATAAAATTACTTTATGCATTCAATATCCACTGAAGGCCTCTCTTGTCTAACACTGGCTTGATCCTGGGTTTGGAAAGATCCAAAACACAGTAAGCAGTAAGTTGAAAAACAATCATATTTTAATGAATACAACCTAAATTTTCCCCAAAAAACTTGTAGACATGTTTCACACATAGAGCTTACTGTGTATGGCCATCACTTAACTCTGATTAAGATAAAGTCTTCAACTGAGTTATCAGATCACTAATCTTGCTGAATGACTCTGGTATCCAAATCCACGCACTTTTCAAAATAACCATTATTTCAATGGAGTAAGCCTGCTCTGAAATCCATAATAACCAAGTCGCAGAGTTTATAAGCTTTTTTTTTTTTTAAGATTTATTTTTAGGGGCACCTGGGTGGCTCAGTTGGTTGAGCAACTGCTTTCGGCTCAGGTCCTGGGATCAAGCCCTGGGTCAGGCTCCCTGCTCACTGGGGAGTCTACTTCTCCTTCTCCCTGCTGCTCCCCCTGCTCATTCTCTCTCTCAAATAAATAAAATCTTTTTTAAAAAAAGATTTATTTTTAGAGAGAGACACATAGCAGGCATGTGGGGGGAAGGGCAAAGGGAGAGAGACTCCTAAGCAGACTCCATGCTGAGTGCAGAGCTGAACTCGGGGCTTGATCTCACGTCCCCGAGATCAAGACCTGAGCTGAAACCATGAAGTGGCCGCTCAATCGACTGTACCACCCATGTACTTACTCCAAGTTTATAAACTTTTAAAGCCCAAATGAGTGCCATGACAAAGATCTTCTACTCATAACGCAGTAATATATTATAGGTTTACTGGCAATATTAATGAACTCCATCTTTCCCCAAGTCATTATTTAAACTACATCACAATCTTCATGGACAATTCTGGGAGGGCACTTCTGCCTTCCTTGTAGGTTAGATGTCCCACAGTCAGTGCACAGCTATGCAAGGGTAAAGACCACCCCCTTGTTCCTAGGCCCAGGACCACCTCCCACCACATAAAAGCCTCATGGCTGGTGAAGTCTGCACTGATCAGGCAATGGTGATCAGTTTCCTTTCCAAATAAGTTCACTGAAAGAGTTGGTGAGCTGAGCTTGAATTCCTGGCTCCAAGCTGTACCTTCCCAACTGTTCTGTATCTGGGGATCCCTGGATGGAGGGAAGGAAGGAAGTGGTGTGTACTGCTCAGGCGACTGTGTTTGTGGAGACAGCAGATCTGAGCTCACATCCCAGCTCCACCAATGACGCTGTGACCTTGTATACATTAGCCCACTGCTCCAAGTTCCTGGATCGTTATCAACAAAATTAGGATACTACTTCATAATAACCACTAATTTAATAACCTTATATTCTAAGAGCTTTTCTTGTATGATTATCTCATCTAACCCTCACAACAGTTCAGTTTCCAAGGGTGGGTAGCGAACTTGATCAAGTAAGTAGGGGTGGCAGAATGTGAACCTAAGTTGTCCAGCTCCAGAACCCGGCTTGCTGGAGAAGCAGTTGTGACCAGGAAAGTATTTTCCTGGAGATTCTGATTCAGTAGAGCTCTGGTGGGGCCTAGGAATTAGATTTTTAAGAAGTACACCAGGGGTATCCTATGATTAGGTAAGTTTGGGAGAATTATGCTGGAAAGAACATAAAAATAATAAATAAGTAATGACCCAATCCCCTGCCAGTTGCGGGATGATGCAGGGCCAGTACGGATATTTAGATGACTCCCTGGCCGTTAATGCTGGTTGCTCGGCCTGTTCTTTCTGGCAGGTTCCTGTTGAGGCTAGCTCCCTGCCCTGTGGCCTGGTCCTGTGAGCACCTACCCTGACAACCTTTGGAATCAGAACTGGACTGGACCAAATGCAGTGTGGACTGGACTCCTGATTCTGTCACTTCCTTTCTAGGCATGTCACCAGGTGAGTCACTTCACATCTCTGAGCCTCAATATTTTTATCTCTAAGATAGAGGAAAGAGTTGGCTCACAGAGTTGGTAAGATTAGTAAGCTGAGGTGTACAAAACAGCTTTTAAACCTTTATTAATTGTAAAATGCTAAACAAAGGTAGGGCACATGTCTAACGAGCCAGTTCCCCATGAGTGGGAGCTCCTGTCCTCACTGGCTGAAGTCCTGCCCATAAAAGCAGTTGCTGGTGGTGGTGGTGGTGATGGGGTTGGGGAAGAAATGGACTGGAGCTTGGCTGCCTGAAGAAGATGATCAGAAATGTCTAACAAAAATCACTTTTCTTTCCAACTTTTAGCTACATGCCAAGAAAATGCTTAAATTGGCAAAAAATTTTTCTTCCAAAATTTTGCAGGTAACAAGTTAGCAGAGAATGTGCTTTTCATCACGGACTTATTAACAAAGACCTTTAACCCTGAATAAAAATTAACAATGGAAATTAAATTATTAAACTGGAAATTTGCTAGTAATTAAAACAACTTTGAAAGAGGTTTGAAAGAGGTAAGAAAGCCAGGTCGCCCTGTTTGTTTACTTAGGGCCAAGCAGGTGCGAAACACCCCGCCAACGTCACTGTCTGGGGGACATGACTGAGTGCCCATTATGTGCCAGACACTAGGCTTTCCAGGCATTATGAGATGCCAAATCCTCATTTCAGTCCTCCAAGAAAATGTCCCTTATTTGCAGAGCTGCTCAGAAAAATCAAGCATCACCCGAAAGATGGCAGAGCCCGGAAGCGCTGCTTCTGTCTGACTTTCCGCCACGCTTCTGACCCTTGGGAGGCCAGGGATGATGTGGCTGCCAAGGGCAATCACCCTAACTAGAGGAGCCTAAATAGCACATTTACTAATTTGTTTAGCTTTGGGCTGCTTGTCCACACACCCCATTCCTTTCTCATGGGCATGGCCACACAGGAGATCAAATTACAGACCAGAAAGCTGAATCCTGGGCAAAGACCTAGACTCCTTCAAAGTGAATTTCCACTCATCAATGGCTTTCTGTTGCATACTCTTCTCTATTCTAGGGGTCTTTTCTAGAATCAAGAAGACATGGAGAATTATTGCCTTCTGCCTGTCTCCCTGCCGGCATCCTCCTCACCCCCTATCTCCCACCCCACAAGGCAGACCTCACTCTTGGATTTAACTTGGGAACATCCCAGTAACAATGCAAACATCGGCCGTATTTCAGTCCTTAAGATCAACTTTGGGCTTGGGTTTCTTAATCACTTTCTTAGGATGGGTGAAGTTCTCATCCATTATTTTTTAATTGGTTTTTACTTGAGATGGTGGCATCAGCCCATAAAAATGTTAAAATACTACCAAACTGTAGTATTTTGGATGAATTCAGTTGAGTATTTATTTTACTACCCACTTTAAAGAGTCAAATCAGGTTACGTATAATGTCTGTGAAAACATTTGACAAAGTAATAGTTAACTAAAAACTTAGTAACTTTGAACTTTGTATAATTATGTGTAGGTTTGATATGTGTTCTAACTTAATAATTTTTCACATTCTAGATAAGTCAGCCTTTTTTTTTTATGACTTATTGCTACTGATTTCTCACCTTTAACCTCACACAAAAGGTCAGTTCCACCCATGATTATATTCCAACTAAATATATCTGACCACTGCTTGCACAGTAGGATGGATGTAGATACCATATTTTATTCTAAGGTACTGGAGAGCAAAAAGTTTGGATGATGGACAGGCTTTTAAGATCACTGCTGCTCTGGATGTCCTCTAAGTTTTCTCCCCAGGAAGTAAAGGGGGGGGGAATGCTTCCTCTCAGTTGGCACCTCTCTATACCCATCCACATGAGATTTCATAAACATTCTACAGAGTATTAAGAGCATTCTAAATATCTGACTGACTCTGAAGTATAGCCAGCCTTTCCTATACAGGTTCCTCTCTGACAGCTACAACCACAGATACTGTCCCTTTCCAGAAGGCCCATGGGCTTAAAAACCTGCACACTCAATCTAACACTTGAATGCATACTTGGAGCAATTATACACAGGGCTAGGCGAGATAGGAACAGATAGATCTTTCCTTCCAAACTGTCATTTTTGCAAGCTAGACACCTGCAGTCCTAAAGGGAGAAAGGACCTGCTTGAGGTCCCAGAACTTCTTGGTAGAGCTTTCACTCATCCTCCCAAAGAGTTCCGCTCTCATCTTATATAACTTGTATGTCAAGTCTGAGTCCAGCACCATAAGAGCTGCAAAGGCTCCTTATTTACCTGCATACCCACTTCCCACCTATTACAATGCCTGGAAACTGGGGATGGACAATGGAAGAGAAAATCAAGAGGCGCCCAAGTCAAAAACTAGAGGACAAGGTAGAAGAAGTAATTATGAGTTTGAGAAAAGTACAAACAAAATGCAGTGGGGGTTCAGAAGGCAGGTGTCCATGAAGTGGTTGAATGCCTGAGCTCTGAAGTCACTCAGAAGTAGGCTTTTTCATTCAGGCACTCAACAAATATTCACTGAGGGTCTACCTGGTACAGGCAATTGATGGATAGGTGAGCAAGACAAAAATAGGCCCTGGTCGCAAGATGAGGAAAAAACGAGCAAGGAAACACAGTTAATTTCAACTGATGACAAATGGTATGAAAGAAAAATCACAGGGGTAGTCTAACAAAGAATGCGTGCACGAGGGGGCAATTTTAGACAACACAGTCAAGGAAAAGCGTCTTTGAGCAAGTAACATTTAAGCTGACACTTGGCCTTGCTCTACAGACGGCCAACTGTGTGACCTTGCGCGTGTCACTCAACCTCTCTGAGTACCAGCTTTCGCATCGGGATTATGGAAGCATAACCAAGAACCTCACAGGGCTGGAAGAATGTAAAAGTCAATGAACCTAAGTCACCTGCATGCACTTAGTGGATGCCTTGGTTGTCATTCTGGGAAGGTTAGAGACCTGTGACATGTGGGAAAGATCAAGAGAGGATGGAGATGCAAGGTCGGTCCAGGACCACTCTCTCACCTATCTCTTTCCTCCAAGATTGCGGGTTCCAGGGCAGGGGCCAGGTGGTCTCCTCTCTGACCCCGGAGCCCCGCTCTGCGCCAGGAGGAGAAGCCAAGAGCTAGGAATGTGGGGGCACGGGGGTCGGTAACACCCGGTCGCCAGGCAATCACTCGCGCCCGTAGCGCGGTGGCCTGTCCCCGCGGCAGCCATTTTGGGTGTCCTCACCGCGGGGAGTTTCGTCACGCGGCCGCCGGGCACAGCGTGGCAGGGCGCGTGCCGGCGTGGATGGGTGAGCCCCTTCCCATCCGGGGCGAGAAGCACTCCACCACCCGGGCTCAGGGGGACCTCAGGGGCAGGTCAGCCTGCTGCAGGCGGGGAAGCTGCCAGGCAGCGGGAGGGTAGGGGTCCCCAAGATGCACGGACCCCCCCACCCCCACCCCGGCCCCAGCATCCCCGGCAGGGCGCGGGGGCTCCTGACATCCCGCCCGGGGGGGAATCTCCGCGCCGCCGCCCTGCGAGCGCGCGTCCCCGCTCCGGCCCTCGCCTCTCCGCGCTCTCGCCACACAGCCCGGCCC